GAAGTCAAGAAAAGAATCCTTTGGCAGGCATCTCTTCACTCTTCTCCTTTCCAGATAGAGCAGTGCCTACTCAGCTGGACAAAGCTGGTTCTGCAAGCAGCTGACAGAAGGAGCTGCACAGCTCAAAGCAAGGAGGAGGTAGGCAGTTCCAGGGGATGCTAGAGTAGATTATAGACTTATTTGAACATTTTCTCTTAGAATCAAAAATTATACCTTATTTCCTTAAAAGGAGTGCAAACTTTGGAATCCAAAACTAACCTAGCTCTCGTCTTCAGTTTAAGGCTGCAGTTCTGCTCTGTTGCACTCATGGGCATATCTAGAATTTTGAAAAGGGGGGTGCAAATTGTGAAATGTATCATCACATATAAAACAACACATTTTTTCTCTGGTTAAAAACATACAAATCCTAGAAGCTTAACTAATATGCTAGGGGGCTAGGGTTATATTATTTTGTTTAAGATTTAAAGCAAAAACAAATATAACTTCATTGGAATGAGTTAAAAACAATCTACAGGGCTGTGAAAAAGAAGTTTCATTACCAGAGCAGCTAATAGACAGCAGAACTGCAGAGCGAAGGATAACTTGATTGGTGGAACATCAAGATCATTAAAAAGGAGAGGATCATTAACACCAGTGGAATTAAGCATTTAGAAGGGATCAGGTAGATAACAAGGTGCCATAAAGTCAATTGACTCCATCAGCACTGCCTGCCTAGAAATGCTACTGCCACTGCTAGGCAGTTGGTTTTAAACTTTGGGTGGAGCAGCAATCAAAGGTGGGGGTGCAAAAGAACCAGTGCACCCCCCCTTGGTTCCACCCCTTGTTGTCCTGCCTCTCTCTTCACCAGCCCCACACTATATGCAAAATGAAAAGAAGGGAGGGGTGCATGTGTGTGTGTGGAGGGGGGTAGTGTATGGAATTGTTGCGCTTGGTCAAGGAAGATGATCAAGTTTGGAAATAATGGATAAATAGAAAAATTTCTGACACATGCTAAATCTACTGTCCCTCTTAGGCTATAAACAGACATCTCATTTGACCCTGGATCAAAACAGGAGGAGTGGCAGTCATTTGCATGTTGCCTTTCCAAGCTGCCTTGCTGCTCCTTTGCCAGTAGGTGGCCAGCAAAAGCACACAACCTGGCAGGCTTGTCCCTGTAATTAACCACAATAACCATGCAGACATACAACAGGACATCCCATGATAAAGTGTAAGCACATTTTATTTGGCATACTTCAAAAGCACTTGAATTGGGATAGTGGATCTGTAACTCTGCATGATCCCAGAACAAAAGTCATTCTCCTGGCTGTGAACATTACATCTGTTCATAGCCCTAAGGACTCAGACTAAGGTTCGACAGTACACTCTGGCTGTTCTGTGTTGCTCCCAACAATTTGAGGCAGGTGGACAACAGTGAATACAATCATAGAGGTTTAGGGGAAAGGCTGTAGAAATGAGACTGAATTCTAAAGTCACTGAAGTAATCTACAGGGGTGGGCAAAATATGGCTCTTGGGCTGGATGCAGCCTGCCAACTGATTGTACCTGGCCCAGGGGCAGGCAGCCACAAACTAACTCATGGGATCCAGCCTGTGGGCAGCTGGTGTTGTAAGCTCCAGCCACTGCATGATGCTGGGCAGACTGGACTGTTTCTGCCCAGTGCCGACACTGGGCTCAGCTGTAGACCTGGGTGGATGCCCCCACTTCCCACCTAGAACCTGTTGGCACTGGGCAGATGCTGGAGTAAGCTGTGGACATGGCTAGCAGGTTCTGGGTCAGGGTGAGGGATCAAGGCTTGCTGCAGCTCTGGGTGGAGGGAGGTGTGGGAAGGGAGATGAGGAGAGTGAGAGATAGGTGTGGCCTTTGATTTAGGGCATTTTGGTGAGCTGTTGTAAGCCAAGGGGTGGGGATGGTGACCCAGTCTGCAGAAGCTCACCAAAACTCCCTCTGTGGCCCTTGCCCTTGGGCCCAAATAATTGCTCACCCCTGGTTTAAAACAATTTTTCCAGCTGTATAGTGGAGGCATTTCAGAACTGAGATCTGGACATTCATACCTGTTCTGCACATGCAGATGCTTCTGAATGAATTGCTCTTACACAAAAAAAATGTGCAGAAGCACGAGACAGAAAAGTAACATTTAAGTTGAAGTCAACATGGACATTGTTCTTTTAACAGCAATAGAAAGTCTAATGCTATAGTAATCGTGTTTGGCAACAGTATTATCATTATTTTACATTGTAATGTTAGTATGATTTATTGCCTATTATCTGTATGTAACCTGTATACAGCCATGTCATTATTTTTATAAGGATTTTTTTTATTTATTAAAAGTGTCTTGGCAGAATTTGACAACATTAAATAGAGATGCTTTACTGCTGTCTCATTAAATAGTGAGCGTGTTTGTCAAAAGCAAAATAGTGTTTAAGGGTTAATTTGAGATGGATTAAGTGACATGTTTCTATATCAAGGGTGATTGGTACTGCTGCAATCTTAGGTACTTGCTTTAAAAGAAAGCAAGACTCTACAACCACCTCCCCTTACCCTCATTACACATACTTAATGCCCCTGTTTCCACACCTGGTTTTACAAGGCTATACTACTTCCATATAATTTCAGCTGACTTCTTAATAGTCAAGGTCCATGGTTGTTAAAGTGAGTTTTGGAAGTTGCCTGCCACCTACCTAGAAGTTCAAAGGTGAATGACAGAAGTTTTTAAAGTCATGAACAGCCCACAATTTTGCTCCATCAAAACCAAACCTTGTTTAATCATTTGAACTGCCTGAGTCCCTGATTATTTGAGTCCTTAGTATCTCTGCAGGTTTTCTTCTCAATGTTCAGCCTCCATTAGCTTCACAATGGTTACTGTATACCACATGCTGCGATAGCACAGAGGGAAGGGAACTCAGCACCTGTTCTTTTACATACTATACATTGAAACGAGCATGGGTTCAAACCCCCTCATCTGCAGTGGCAGACTGTTTGCATAAGCAGTAATTTATTGCTGGGGCCACTAAAATGAATCTGTTTGTTGAATCTAACAAATAGCAGGTCTCAAATGCAGAGAATCTTTTAAAGTGGCTGGAGATGCATTAGATCCCACCAGAAAGACACAAACAAAATTGGCTGTTTCCACACAGTCTGAAGTACTATGTACATTTTGATACATCTAGATGAGGGCAGGACTGACTTGCTGCATGAAATGGTATGTAGCAGCCTAGCAGCCAAAGGACAGAGTACAAAAAGTGAATGTGAAGTGGAGCATTGAGCAGCAACTTTGAAATTTAATTTTATTAAGTGGAAGAATTCCCTTCAGTTAGGAAGGATGTGAAATTCCTGATCCTGCAACTAAATTGTGCAAGGACTACATCATACCCTACCGAAGTCAGTGGAGCTCTTGTGTGAGAACAAAAGTCTGCATAAACAGTGTTACACTAAATAAACAGACTCATTTACTTGGAAGAGAATTTTAAATATGAGTGCACAAGCCTGCCCATCCAATAGCTGTCATTACAGTTTGTATTTCCTTTTCTCAGTAAAAACACAAGTTTGAGAACTGATATAAAAAGGCATTGCTAGCAAGCCTCACCTCTGCCAGTGTGTGCTGAAAAAGCTCTTATACTTTGGCTTCCATGTCAAATTCTGAAACAAGACAGACTGTAGCCTGAAGTTTGCTTCCATTATACTTACTTTTCCTTAGCATTACTAAACAGTGTATCTTATAACACTGCTGCAGACATCATCAACAATTTAAAAGGACTATGAGGTAGATGTTCTAGATTTTCTTGGTTCTGTTGTGTTTATTTGAAATGGGGACAGTGCTCAGCATTAGAAAATAAAAGTTCCATTTCTTTAAAAGCAAATTTTAGATTTCTCATGCAGCATAAAAAGGTACAAGAGTGGCAACAGCACACACTGGATTGACATCAGTGCTCACCACTGACCAAATTAGGGATAATGGAGACGTGCCACACTGTCCAGTAGTTTTGGGTGTGAACATTATGATGTCCCAAACACATGCTTAGTATTAGCTGCAAAACCAAAGTATGAAAAAAAATGTAAAATTCTAGAAGAGTTTGCCATTGTCTGGTTTCTGCTGCTAGTTAGCAGAGGTGCACTGATATACCGGTCCATATCAGATTGGCACCAATAAAAGGAAAATTGACATTATCAGCAATCAACTTTGTTTGGCCGATGTAGCCAATAATGTCACCAATGAATGTTGATACGCAGCACAGCAGCTTGGAGAGAAGCAGCTGGCTGGTGTAAGTCAGGGGAGGGGGGGGGGAGGGGGAGGAGAAGGGGCAGATAGGAGGCCCTCATGGTGAGGGAGAGAGTGGGGCTGAGGCTCGAGCAGAGGGGCATGTGCCTCCTGGCTTTGTACACGGGGCAAAGGTGGACTGCCCACTTCAGGGCCAGGGGCTATGCCAGCCTCTTCGCAGTGCGGAGGCTGGGCTGGAGCCATCCGTGCCTCTGTCCCCCACCCCATCCCAGCTGGGCAGTCCCTGCCCCAGCCCACTCCTCACTGTGGGGACCTTGATCTGCCCCCCCCCAACCTATTTCTCTCCCCCACACAGACTTACCAGCTGGACACTGCTCTCCAAGCTGAAGGGCTGCATATCAGCTACTGGATCAGTATCAGCCAATATGGCTGGTTAATAGTTAGCCATCAGTATTGGTTAAAAAAGTCTTTATCAGTCCACCCCTACTAGTTAGAAGTAGGGTCCATATGGTAAAAAGTAAGTAAATAATTGACCTGTTATAAACAAATTGAAGAGAAGAGTGGTTAGAAAAATCAGTTTGATACCAGCTATATTTTGATCAGTAGAAAGACCTTTCTGACTATGAATTAGGGTCCAAGGTTGGACACAGGGTGTGTAAATAGATGGAACTGAGTCAACATCATGAAAAGTAACCAGTGGTTGCTTCCAAGGTTCTGTACTCAAACTAGTGTTTTTCAACATATTCATCAATGATTTGGATATGGGTGTGAAAAGAGTACTGGCAAAATTTGCAGATGACACCAAATTATGGGGGAGTGCAGTCACACTGGAGGACAGGCTGACTTGGACAGGCTTGTAAAGTGGGCAGATCAAAACCTAATGATATTTAACACTTTATATTTTTAAGTGTTCTATCTGGGGAGAAATAATCCACAACGTACTTACAGGCTTGGCAATGCTACACCAGCTAGCACCACAGCTGAAAGACCTAAGGGTCATGACTGACCACAGAATTAATGTGAGCTATTAGTGCGATGCTATAGCCAACAGAGTGAACAATACACAGGCATGCATCAACCGATGCATCTCAAGCAAGACTAAGGCTGTCATCCTCCCACTCTACTCAGCATTAGTGAGGCTGCAGCTGGAATACTACATCCAGTTCAGACTGCCACACTTCAAAAAAAGATGTAGAGAAGCTTGAAAGAGTCCAAAGGAGGGCCACATGAATGATTAGAGGTCCAGCCATACAAGGAGAGACCGAAGGACATGGGACTGTTCAGCATGGAGAAGAGAAGACTTAGGGGGGACTTGGTGGCAGTCTATAAGTATATAAGGGGCAAACATCAGGAGGTGGGAGAGCATCTGTTCACCAAAGCACCCCAGGGGAAGACAAGGAATAATGGACATAAACTGCTAAACAATCACTTCAGATTGGATATAAGGAAAAACTTTACAGTTCGTGTCCAGAGTCTAGAACAGACTCCCCCCAGAAGTGGTACAGTCACTCTTCCTGGGGATCTTCAAAAGATGACTGGATGCACCTTGCTAGAGTCATCTGACCCCAGCAGTCTTTCCTGCCCAAGCACAGGGGTCTGGACCTGATCTCCTTGTGAGGTCCCTTCCAGCCCCTAACTTGTATAAATCTATGAATTAAATATAGTGTTTCCTGGATTTAGGCCTCTAACAGTACTTTAAGAGAAAGCAAAAGAGATGCAGTTCAGCCCACTATACTACCACTTGGATCTAGGCAAACTAGATATGAAGGGCATGGTCTGATTAAGTTGTTGCTATAGCTGTGCTTTCACTAATTCCAAGGAGGGCAGGGTCAGGGTGTTGAATCCATGCCCTTCTAGGTAAGCTGAAGTTCTTCAGTATGGCCTACTTTTCAGTGGGCGCATTTATACATTCATTAATGCACAGTAGTTACTGTGCATTTAGTTAAGTACTTCTTTAATGAAGTACTAAACTAAATGCACCATAACTGTAGTTACTGCTCAGTAGTGCCAGTGTGCGGGGTTTTTGTGAAGGTTACTATGCAGTAGTTTATTAGCACGGTTTTTGACCAGCAGGCTACTGCGTAGTGTTATTAGGCTACCGCGCAGTAAGCATCTCGTGTAGACCTGCCCAGGATGGATCAGGGTTTTTTTTGTTTTCTAGTCACCTTGCTAATTCCAACTTGCTGAAATACTTTGGCAAAGTCCTTGTGTCAAACCTAACAGGGCTCCCCTGCTGACACTGCACTAGCATAACTTCCTAAAAATGGAAATTGGAAAGATGAGCAAAGAACTGCAAGACACCTCTTTGTATTCACCACTTTGCCCTCCTAATGCCAACAATCCAACTTCCCCTTTGTGTCTAACTTGTGCCTTGCAACATTAAGGATCAGTTCAGTTATAAGGACCTAATGTGACTCATTACTCAGAACAAAAAGAGAGACAATTTAAGATGGAAGCAGTGTACACTTAAAAACTGCAGTCTCCCCATTCGGCAGTATAGTCCCCAGCCAACATATTGGTGACCCAGCTCACCAAACCATTTATGCCTATCTGTATCTTTAATATCAACTAGTATTAAACAAGTGTACTATACTGGAATCTTTGCATTGAGGTGGCAGCTGTCATTGAGGTTTTGCAATCAGTTGATTTATATGAATGTACCAGGTACCCAACTTGATTCTGTGTAGGTTATAATCCTGCAAATTTTGAAGGACCCCCCAAAAAAAATGAAATACAGGAGCATAATTACTTTTTCTGTGCTCTGAAGGCAATATTTAACCCATTTGTATAGGTGCGAACTAGAAGTTCCTCCACTAAGGCTGAGGAGACATTAAGAAAGCTAGCACAAGCAAGTTCATATCCAAACTGTATCCCACTTTAAAATGGTTTCAGCACTGCTATTTCCCCCTCCACCTGAACATCTCTTCTGTTTCCAGTGTGAAGTAAGACTCTGCTTGGTGAATTTCTGGGCATTCAAACTTGGTGAAATCTTGGTCACTTGGGAAGTTTTGCTTTCAAAAGACAATATGGAAGTTACTCTGGGTTGAAGTTATTCCTTGCTTTAATTTGTTGCCCAAACATACATATTGGAACATTCTGTACTACAGTAGCCAGCATGCACACAGTAATTGGACCAATCAGTGACCATCTCCTTTCACTACACGCACAGAAATAGGAACACCACTTGTTTGGACAAAGAAAAACAATTTAACTGGATACAGCTATCAAGGAACATTTTCTAGAAAGTTGCGTTTTTCCTGCAAATTCAGCAATGTAGAGATTATTCTTCAAGGCTTGAAGAACTTTACAGTCTTCTTGTGAAAATGCTAACGGCATCCACTGTGGCTGAAATGAGATTATAACAGTTTAAAAGTCCATTCAGAGCAACAATCAAATGGAAAACTAAGACTTCAACATTACATAAATGGAAATGCTTTGAGAAAATTCATTTAGAGGGGGCACAAATAGAAAAAAAGGTTATGAGGACTTGTGTAAGCCAGAAGTTACTAGAACTGTGACAGAAGGAGAGAGACCAGAATCAGACCCACTGTCATTTATTATATTCCTCTAATTTATACATAAGCAGATAGGTTACTTCTATGGCAATGCAAGGATCTAAAGGGAAGAATTAAGATGTTTGCTTACTTCACTTAAAGAACTTAATTTCTGTATCAACGCAGTCATAGAAGAGGTCCGCCACTTCAGTGGGATCCAGAACCTCTGTACTGGAAAGGATGTCCTCCATTGCTTCTAGGCCTTGTTTTTCAAGGTCCAGCATGATCCTCATCAACTTCTTTCCTTTATCCTGAAAGATAAAATGGCCAAGTTGAAATACTTATTAAAAATCAACCAACAATACAGCAGTATCAGGATTAACACCAGCTACAAGGGCAGTGTTACTTTGCAAAGTTTGCTTCTCCACTGTTCTCTGGTAGAAAGTCTACTATAAAAAATCTGTTTTGTCCAGTTGTTTGCAGACCACTTCTACTCCAGTTTTCAGAGTAATGGTCTCAAGTGACATTAGCATTCTTTGTGCTGGTTTTGTAACAGACTGATTTGGTAAGGAAACGATTTTTGCTTGTAGGCAGCCTCATTTATTTTGAAAGCTACAAACAGAATTCTAATTCCAAGAAAGAGCGTATTAGGACTAGTAGTGACTGAAGGTTCAGCTGGGCTCCACACACTACCTCCAGAAGCAGACGGTCACATCTGCTAAGATTTAGAGCATCTTGGACATCCAATTAAAACTACAATTTTTATTCCTACTTAAGGAGTTATCTTGATAGTGTGCTCTAAAGTTTTAGAATCTACTTTTTTGCACCACAGCATATAGAACAATTCTTACCCAAGATAGAATATATGCCAATAATTTGGTGATAGGGAGCTATGAACAATGGGAAAGGAGTTGCAGACTTGCTTGTTCTAGTTGGTCACTGCTGCAAAGTTCACTACTTGGAGCTGTATTGATGATTACTATTTTGTCATTCTCCCCCCCCACCCCTAGTAGTTTGAAATATCTATGGAACAGCTTTATACCTCACTTCTTTAAACATAGTTTTCTCCCTGCTCTGAGGAGATCTTCTGAACTAAGCTGAAACAATAAAGACTGCCTCAAAAGTGTAACATAGGCACTGAGGCTCTGCTCACCTGCCCAGAGCTTGGCATTGCCCTATGAAATCACAGAGTCCATCTGAAATACATTTGTATGACTATTCCAGCATTCAGAATGGATTGGCTTGTCTGCAATTTTCCTGACTTTGCTTGTGCTCGCCCATATCTAGCTACTGGTACAATAGCAGAGCCAAAGGCAACAAGTACATAACACCTTGTTCCCAGATAACTGGTTTAGTGCAGGTTTTGAGGTTGAGTAACAATATGGAAAAAATGCATTTACACAGATGCTGTATTTATCCTCCAAGAAAAAGAAAACAAACTAGAAATTCAGGGTGAAAATTAATTCTAAACCTGGGATGGTACAAAATTCACAGCATGGGCACCATTCAGCCCACTCAGCTTTGTAACAATGCCACACGCCTCTTACTGCATCAGCAGCTGTGATCTTAGATTTTTAAACAGAATGAAATGGTTATTGTTTTCTTTGAGACCAGCAACTCTATTTGGCAACCATGTCTTTCTGTGGAAGCTAATTTACTGTTAATAATTGGAACTGGCAAGAAAGATTGAAGGAAACAACTCCATGTCAGATCTCTAGAGCTGCTATAGATGGGGCTGTTCCAATCTTGAAAATAAATCTTCTCTCTCTCTTTGTACCTGAAAACAATAGGCATTTTGCTTTCCAACTCCAGTGGACATGACCAGCTCGGACAAGACTGATTATATGAACTCTTTAGGCTTACACACCAAAAGAAAGAATGCATACGTTTGACGTGAGACTTAAATAAGCTGTCTTATCTTAAAGAAATGCCCTTTTCCACACACACCCTCCCCCCACCTCACAAAACCCACAACTTATATTTGAGATGCTGGAATAGCAGTTGGCCTGTAAAGTATAGTTGGACTTGCAACACTCCTGCTACTACTTTATTGTACAACATGATGTTCTGTTAATTCTTCAACACTGGCTACAGTGACTCTGCATACAATGATGGGTATTGAATAATTTGATGGCTGTACAGACAAGTTTTACTATGTCTTTCTTTCAGCAACAAGTATGGTAGTCTGACAGCTTCTTTTCATGCCCTCAAAACTTTGACAGTGCTAAGACAGCACTCAAGAAACCAATCCCATCCCTACCACAAGCTATGCAGAGGCAAATAGCTTTTTATTCTTAAAATTTTGCCAGTTAGGCTTTGAATAACAAACAGCCTGCCAACATCTGATGGATCATTTTTGGCAGCCAGCATTTCTTAAAAATAAAGATACCAAGTATATTTACATTTTTCCAAGTTAAGTGAAATCTTATGAAATCTTTTTTAGAATGTATGTTTCCTTTAAATTACATGCAGAAATTGCTATGTAAAAAAGGATTTCACAGATTTTACCAAAGCAAATGAAGCGCAAGGTTACAAACCCATGGAGAAATTCTCATTCCTCACCGTTAAGTCCTAGAGACCTTACCTCATCAGTCTCAATTACAGAACGGGCCCATTCATGTGCCTTGTACAATTCATGCCTGCGGTCAGGTTTTTCCTGGAATCGAGGTATCTTTTTTGCAGGATCATCATCACCAAGAGACGGAGACTGAACCTTTGGTACTTGTTTGACATCATCAGCAAAAATGAAAGGCTTAAATATGGACCTGAAAGAAATAAGACTGTTGCAAGCATTTTGTATATCAATCCGTAGTTTAACTAGGCTACTATGGACAGATTTGTGGAACCATTAGTTCACTGCGTGCGTTTTTACAGTGGAGGACTGAGGTCAGTGGTCCAAAAACAAGTTCAGGAGAGGAATATACGTTATGAAAAAAGGAAATTATTTGCTTTTAATAACTGTTCTCCACTTCTCGCAAAGCTTTACATTATAGCCCTTTGCATTCCCTGTCATTGAAGTTTCCCAGTTTTGTAAAAAAATAGCCATCAGTTTCCTTCCCTGCATAGTTTTGGTAAACATCATGTTCATTATTTAAAGCCCAATGTCTTGTTCCTCTTAGCAACCCCCTGTTTTGCTTTTTTTCTTTGCTCCCTCATTCTATGGTTAATCTTCTCCCAATCTATGGTTTGCTCCCTCAATCTATGATACCCAATATTCTTAAGTCCCACAATCCAAAACCACTTTCTAGTTCAGTGGTTCTCAACATTTTTAGATTCAAGGCACCCCTTGTCAGACTCAAGATAACCCTCCTTAACTTTTGCAAAATGAGAAGAACCCCACTTCAAAACAAATTGATTACAGCACTTAGCTCCTTGTAGAGGGGCCAGAAAGGCACAGAGACCCTGAATATGACCTCATCTGCTTACCTCCTTACACATCTCAAGGCCGAGAATCACTTTTCTAGTTCTACTCTCACACAGGAGCACTTACATGTCAAAGTCTTTTCCCCTGCCTTAAAAGTCATGTTCTTGATTTTTCTGAAATAAAAAACCAATGAGCTGAAAGTAGATGAATTCCCAAAGCATTCTATAGGAAAATTTTACAAGTTATTACACAACATACTAAGTATCTGTGGAGATTTGACATCGAACAGCAGGCTACAAACAAGAAAGCCAGTGCTTGCAAAGAAAATACTCAAATTTCCATCTTGGCTTGGAATTAGGGACAAGCTCAGAACAGAACTCTAGATTTAACTCTAAGATCACATCTCCTGGTTTGAACTCAGCACAAATATTCTACATACACCACTGCAGTTACCTTCACTTCAGAGTGAAGGGCACAAGACTTATGAAAAAGCAGGTTTGTAAACAATGACTGAACAAACCAAAGATTTGTTGCTGCTGCTCTATCCATAACCGTCTTGAAGCTCTGCACTAAAGGAAGCTGATTTGAATAGTGTGTGAGCAAGCCACATAGTTTGCATCAAAAGCCTTTTATAGTTCGGGAGGAAGGGGAGAAGTTTTTGGCGGTTAAGTGTTAGTGGGGAACAGAAGGTGCGGGAAGCAGAGGCGAGTTGTTTTCTTTAAATTTGCATTGTTGCGCCTGTTCTCTCACAACCAGATAAACATGAAAAATCCTCTATGCCTGCAACAAGGACAGTGCAAGCTTATCCTGTCCCAAAAGCAGCTCCATCCTTAACACTGAACAACCACTAGTAGGGGAACAAGTCATCTGCAAGCCCACTAAACCTTTAGCCCCTGTAAAAGCTGCCAAGAAGGTGGTGTTCCATTAGGCGTGCAGGTTTGTAAAGAGGATATTGTCCATTATGAACTCCACTGTGGTTAACACCTTGCACACTGGGGCAGATTATACTTCCTGTCAGTGGCTCAGGACAATGGGGAGTGCAGGTAAGTAGGGTAAGATGCATCATGCTTAATGCTTGTTAAGAGCATACATGTGGAAAGTTCATGTACAGTAACTATTGGGTGTGCCTACACATTCATTAATGTGCCATAGTTCCTGTGCATTAAGTTTAATATTTGGATAACCAAAAACTAAATCACTGTGCAGCAACTCACACTACTGTGCAGCAGCCTAATACTACTAAACAGTAGTGAATTAGCACAGTTTTTGCCCAGCATGCTACTGCAGAGTGTTATTAGGCTACTGCGCAGTTAGCATCTTGTATAGATGTGCCCGCTGAGCTGTAAATTTGTAACTTCATGTCTGTAGTAAAGACTGGCGTTTACTCTCCATGAGATTACAGACACTGTAGAAAAGACGACATCTCCCTGGAATTGCTACTCATCAAGTTAAACCCTAATGCCTTATGTACAAATCTTACTTTATTTACTTGAATGCGGGGAGGAATCTCCATGAGCATCTTTGTTTACAATCAGGTTAGGCAGATAGGAGAATACTTAGCCTTGGTAAGGCCAAGAGATAGTTTAGAGAAGCAAAACATATATCAGTGCCCTGCCCAGGTTCAATGAAGATTCAACCTGCCAGGTGCAAGATAGCTGGGACTCCCTTCAGCACCAAAGGACCTCTGTATGAACACACAAGTACAAAAAGACAGTTCAGAGTCATCTAATAATTAAGACCTTTGGCCACCTAGGAGAATCACTCTGGCATTCTCTTCCTTTGCCCAGTCTGCTTTGCCACAATATAAAGAGCTGCCATTCTTAAGGTCACCATAAAAAACTTGGAAGTTGCATGTGGATTGAACTATACAGTGGACAGCTGACTTGGATTTCATAAGTGATTAACCAGTAAAAGATACTCATCCATAGATCGAACTGTTTAGTACATCCCTATATATAGGGTAACTATGTAGGAGAATGTGAAATCTGGGACACTGCCGTCCACCTCAATCCGCTGCTGCAGGATCCAGGCAGTCACTGGCCTGTTAAATGACCTATTGTTAACACCTCTGAAGTAACAATTAATTAATTACACTAAATCAATATTTTAGAGCAATTGTGCCCCACAACCAGGAGGGAGGGGGTGTTTAATGTTCACTGGCTGGCTGGTACCGACTTTCAAAATCCGGGACTGTCCCAGCCAATCCAGGACATATGGTCACCTATAAATAATATTCTCCAGTGCTTTAAGCAATAAAAGCAAAGATTTTCCTTTTGAGCGGTTGCTCCAGTAATTAAAAACATTTAAAAGATGGGGCCTGCTATTAATCTAAAATTTTCCATCCACTGATTTGTTATGACAGTACAGAAACCTATGGCCACTTGTGGTTAACCAGCTCCTCTTACATACACGACAGGTTCTACTTGTAACCATACATATGTTCTTATTTTGGGTCTGCACAGCAGGCATAGGCTTGCGTATCCTTTCATCTACTCTCCTAACCAGTTGGAAGCAACTGAGACAGCCAAGAATTCAAGAACACAGAACACAGAAGGTAGGGAGAAGTTAGGGAGGAGACAAAGCATAATGTAGCTCCCAAATCAAACAGAACCGATTGCCCCCATTCCAAAAGCTGCAATTTCAGGTTGATCCAGTATATTTTGGATAAAGCTGAATTTAAAAAAAAACAAAAAAAACCACATCAACAAAGTATCAATTTGGTGTTTCAATTCTGGAATTATCCACTTAGCACTTCAACAAGCTACGTTTAAGAGAAATTTAAAGCATTTTAATGTTTGGGGGAAAAGTTTTATGTTTCCTTTCACTTTATGGAATGTTGAGGAGTACTGTGTTCACTTTGGGGCACAGCACTTCAAGGAAACAAATTCAAGACGCAGTTGTAGAAAGTGAGGATGAAAAGGACAACAGTGATCAGAGGTCTAGAAAAGATGATCAGTGAAGGAACATTGAAAGAACTGAGTTTGTTTCATCTATAACGGAGCGAGTGGAGGTAAGTCTTCAGATGCATAAAGTTTACAGTAAAAAGTTATAAACTATTCTTCACGTCCACTTGTGATAAGGCCAAGTAATAATGGACTTAAAGCAATTTAAATTTAGGTTAGATGGGGGCAGACTTTCAAACTCTAAGACTACTTAAAATCACTAAACAGATCATCTAGGAAGCCTGTTGAATCTTAGTAGTTAGAGGTTTTAAAAGACAAGATAGACCAAGATGTCAGGAATGGTTTAGGCATAGCTGACAATGCCTGGGGTATGGATTGTGGTGGGGGAATAAAGATAAAAGATCTCTTGATCCATTCATTTCTGTGACTGAATGTGGCAATTTTGAGTTTACTGTAGGAGAGGGTGGGAGGAGAAATTCTTGAGGACCCTTGTGGTTTCATCATCTATTATATGGTAGCTTGCAATTTTAGGGAGTGGACCCAGATTGCATTCAATAGGAACATAGATCCGGAATAAAATTGTAATGGTGGGTTACACAGTTGTTCTAAAACAGCTGTGATTATGTCATTTTTCATATTCTAATATGATCTTTTCCCCTAACACCATAAAATGATTAGATAAAGAAGGGAGAAAGTGATATTTTACATATTCTAAAGAATTAGATTTGAACTGCATCCTTTTACTCTGTCCTTAACACTAAATGCTGGGTTAGCATCTCCATAAAAGCTAAAAAAAAGAGGGGAAGGAAAAACCCACAAACAAACACTTAAAAAGTAAATAAAACAGGGTTTTTGTACACAAGGCATTAGGAAAACATCTCTGGAAATTAAGAAATGGCAGGTTCTTTGAACTGACACAAAGAGAATCATCTTAATTTAGTCTTGGGGATGAGAACTCCCAATTTTGTTCGTTTCCATGATTTAAGGAAGAAACCCTTTTTTCTAAACCTCAAATTTCTACTCTGATAAGATAACCACTCTCTCTCCAACCTCTCAGTTCTAATCCTGAAAGGGAATTTACAAAACACTTTTTGCAGGTGAGCCTACAAACTTCACTTCATCAATCTACTGGATACAAAAAATCATGGATTAAATATAGACATTGGATTTATGGCACATTACAATCTGTCTGCCATCTGATACCCCCAGGAAGCCTTTCTACAATTTACCAGCTATATTCCCTCACCAGGTCACCATTTCCTTTCCCCTCTTCCCCACCTGTCTCTAACCCATTGTCTCTCACTCCCTCTGACACTCACTGCCACACATTTGCATTTTCACTGACCTGCATTCTTGCATACTAGCTTCTATCCCATCTGAGAGAACAAAAAAACTGCAGATGCTCCCTCTGCCTGAAGAAGAGTGTTTGTACCTAAAAGTTTGCAAAGATGAATTTTTTCTAACTATTTTAGTTGGTCTAATAGAAGGTATCCGATTTACCCAAAGAACCTTGTCTACTCTGACAACAGCACTGGAAACAAAAGCCCTGAACAATGGCGAGGAAGTCACTAAGTTTCCATAAGTGCTTGTGCAGCCATTATTTTATAATGTTGCGAGGAAAGAATTACTCTCTTTTTCAAAACTAAAATAATCTTGCTTAAGAAATTAGAGTGCACTTAAATTGTTTACTATTTTCTGCCGATCCCTTTTATATATTGAGGATGTCACATTACAAGAGTAACTTGCCTCCATTGCAAATTCCTTTTCAAAATTACAAAAGCCAGAACTCTGAACAAGTTAAATCATCCCTGCTGTGGTATTTCAAGAATAAGAAGATTATATGGAATGCTAATAGAAAAACTATTGATCATTTTACCAAGATTAGCCAAACGGTTTTCATTTTCCACATATAGTGGGTGTTTACTGAAATTCTTATTTCCACTGTATTCAGAGAGTTAAGAACAACAACAAAAATCCACATCTTGAAAACAGAATTCAAAAGGTGTACAAGAAGATGATAGGTGGGGCATACCGCCCATTAAGTCCCCCTTGTAAATCATCTAACAAAGTCTATTGAGCAAATGACTCGTAGATGTTAAGTAGTGAACTGCAAGTTACCTGCATTAGTTAGACTGCAGTCTCACATACAACGTGCCCCTCCTCCCCTCCCCCAAGTATAATATGCACTTGGTTTTTGAAAGGCAAAACGAAGAAAAAGAAAGATCTCTCCTTGAAAACACTGGTAAATACAGTATTTCCCCAGGATTTAAAATAAAAGAAGCAGGCAGCTGCAAGGGTGGGGGAGGAGGAAGCAAGCTGCTCTGTTAACCCTGTAGCTGCAGGATACCACAGATGCTACTGATTGAGTCAAATTGCCCAACCCTTCTGCTTTTTGAGCTGATCTGGGTGGGCAGCCAGTAGCATCTGCCAGGTCACCTGAGGATCCAATCCTAGCCAGCAGCACCTGCCAAGTTAGCTGAAAGCCACTGGCTTTAAAATACAGCAGAGCCAAGCTGAGCCAAGCCCTGGGTACAAGGGCAACACCTTCTGTGGAAAGTGTCCACAGCCATCAGTTAGGGAACATCCTGTGCAGCACTTGCAGCATTACTCCCTCTCTCCCTGAAGGAAGATTACCATATCCCTTTGCTTAAAATGCACATCCCAAATGCATGATGTATGCAAGACAATGCAGCAATTTTTCTTCCAGGCCCTCTGCTAAAACTCTAATGGGAAATAATTTCCAGGACAATCAAAGATAAACACCAAATCTACATCTCCAGCTCTGAGAGGGATGTATTTTAGTGGAGCAACAACCTATCTTCATCTGCAGTTCTACTAAGTTATAAGCCACAGGGATGTGCCAACCTGCAGCATCTTAAATTTATGAAGTTACATTTGGACTCCTCCTCATATTTAACCGCTTCATAAAAGGTGGTAAAACCCAACCAACATCCCAGTTGCACTGTGTATTTAGGCTGTACATTATACATCTTGTTTTTTAACTGAAGTGGTTTAATGTACGCTTCTAGCAAAAACACTTTTTCTACATTACATCACCCTATTTCTACATTATCTGAGCTGTACTTGGACATAATGGACAATGGCAGCTCTCACCCTTTGCAGTTAGGACCTACAGGCTGGAACAAAAGACTTGCTTTAGTTGCATTAGATCAGGCACAGTGAAGCTATCCCATCTCTTGCCCCAGAATTTTTCTGACAAACCTGCCTCCTCCCTCCCCACCTTTTAGTGTGCTAAAAGCAATGGAGAATTCCCTGCACAGGCCAAAGTGGTTCCTACAATGTGGAGAATTTCACTTCACTGTTAAATGGGAGAACACCAGTTCTGCCCTATGGTTCTCAGGAGGCAGAGAACAGAAAACAGTCCACTAGGAGACAAACATAATGCCCCCTTAAATTTGTTTATGCCACCTTGACCCTGCATTTGGCTGGAGACTGAAGCAACCCTGAAATATAGTTATGACAGCCTCTCTACTACTCCAAACAAGGTGTTCTGCATCCCAGATATGAAGCCCTCTGGCCACTCCTCCTTCCTGTCTCTGGAGGCTGCTTAAAGCTGCATGCACCTTCATCATTACATGGCTTTCTAGAGGAATTTCTCCATGCAGTCCTTATCCATTCTAGCTCCTACCACAGGGCACATGTTAGTGATGCCATTTAATCCTTCCTTCAAAAGAAGAAAGAGTGCACGTGTGTGCTGCATAAAACCAGGTAATCCAATTAATGCTGGAGGAGGTTCTCAGTTCTGCTGTCATCCAACCTCATTTTCTTGGGTGGACAGCACAGACTGAGAGCATGTACAGGAAGATACGAGAAAGGAGTTATACACCCTCTTCCTTTTTTGTTCAGTAATGCAAGACCAGCCGCAAGTTATCCAAGTTAGATCTGCCACCGTACTTGCTTTAGTAGCTTTTGGTACACAAAGACTCAGCCAGAACCTCAGTTTTAGTGTCTACAACCCATCTTTGACCAGAAACAGCCCCACATACCCTAACCTACCTTGAAGGGTCTGGCGTGCCTGTGAAGAAGTGAATACAGGGAGAACTGTGGTTGTGAGATAACACAGATACCATGCTAGCCGTAGTAAGGAAAGATTCAGAGTCCACGCAGACACCATGAGCTTTGTCACGTAGAATGTCCATCATTGTTTGTGCAGCAATACCTCCTGCATGAAAGACACACACACATACATGGTGCACTATGGTCTGATCCAAGGGAATTTTTTTACTTCAGTAGCTTTGTAAATGCAAATACCTCATGGAAACACTGTTATAAAAACAATGCATGTGGCATTCCACTTATTAGCAGCTTGTATCAAAGTGAAGAACCCTGAAATATAGCAGTCAAATAAATCTGCTCAGCTAGCTTACGCTCAGGGCAGAACTCTATGTTTATAAGACATGCCAATAAAATGCAGTTTTTTGGCACTTAGTTGCCCAATCACACAATTTCATTTTGTAGAACAGGTTGAACCACATGTACATGGCTAAGTGGTTCACCCTATAACACTATGTTTGTGCCTACTGTGCATGATGAGAAGAAACTTAAATGCTAGCCAGAAGACATCTAGCTCCATTTATGCTTTGCTGCGATTCAACTTCATCACGGACGCACAGAAGTGCACATAAACCTTCAATTTACAGTCAGTCAAGAACCACACCTAGTAACTTCTTGGCATCTACACAAGCTTCTAACCATGTGCCCAATGGCAAAGTAGTTAAAGCACTTACCAAAGACAAGAGAAGCCCAGAGAATCCAGTTTCCAGATTCAACACTCCCAACAGGATTTGAGCACTGAGCTCCCATATCACAACCCAATCATCAGGCCACAGGCCAAGCACCTTCACATTGGGGATTGGTCGGGACAGTGGGCAGCAAAGAGGGAAAGGACCCAGAGGACAGAAGAAGAGATAGGAGGGAGCGCAATGCTGAGGTTCAGGAAGAGGGATGCTACCCTAATAGAGGGAGGCATTCCTGGCTTCCATTTTTAAATATTTTCCATCAGTCACTAGCAAAGCTGCACGGAGAAAAGAGCAGCCTTCTTCACATGGTGCTCCACATGTCAAAATACTTTCCCCTAATAGGGCTGGAACAGGTGCCCAACCTTAGAGTGGCAATCCATGTACCTCATATGGCAGATGCCTTTTGGAAAACATGACCAGAATCCTTAATACGAAGGAGGACATATCTGGATTTGGAAAGACTAAAAGAAACCCTGGAGAACTGTTAGCACAAACTTCAAGGTCTGAGACTTCCCTTTCAGAGGAAATCCTACACACATGTAATACTTGGCATTCTAGAGCCTTGTGTTACTCAGCCTGCCTCACCTTTCAGGATTAGGTGTGCACTAATAAAGATTTTTTTGGCCAATTATTAACAAGCCATATCAGCCAATACCAATCTGATTGCC